CCATATTAGTTTTAAAAACATTGATTATAAAATTCATTCATCTAAATAAAATAGAGGCTATATAATTATAGTATTTAGTAGAAATTTGAATTACAATCCCTGTGGGTTCGACACTATAACTCCATTATTATATTACAAAACTTGACACCGTACACTTGCTGCATAAATCACAGTATAGAAAACGCTTGACAACAGCCTCCCAGACATCTTTTGCGGTGGGGAGGAAGATATACGTTTTTCCAGTGGACGGTTTTCTGGAATTCACAAGCCATGCCGTTACCATGGAATTTTCATAATTCCATATTGGCAGAAGTTTTGCTGGCCTCTTCATATCACCGGTGAGGTATCCTAATTTCCCTTTTCCATCGATCACTAATTTTATAGGTTGTGCCCACTCTCGAAAGTTCATTCCATTCAGTTTTTCCACTGTGAGTTGGAAGGAGGAGTTTTCGAGTCCATTTGAGCCAAATGAGGAATTAGCTTCTGCTTTGAATTGGGAAGTTTCAGACGTTGTGGATTCCTGGTTGGTGGGTGGGAATTCCGCCATTAGTCTGCTAGGTTAGGAAACCTAGATCTGATACCATGAAGACACGGTTAGAATGAATTTTTATGTAATGATAATAATTTCAACATTAATACAATCAATTTATAATACGAGGTTGGAAGAAAAAAGGAAAAAATATTATGCCTAGTAAGAAAAACAAATAAACTGCCAATTATCCTAAAATACAAGTTTTCTAATTAATCACAATTTCCATCTATGATATTCTTCCATACTTGGACGTTTCCTACAATCTGGCTACAGACTTTCCTCAAAATTATCGAGCAGCAGATTAGCATGTTTGGCTAATCTTACAAGGTGCTTAAAAGCAGATCTTTTTGAAAGTTTTGACTCAAAATTATCTGGCAACAAGAGGAAGAAGACTGAGAAACTGGGTTATAGATCTGCATGGTCTGGATACAAGAGTCCTGAATTTTAGTCTTGGTAACAAAGAATGGGGTTTGAGAGGAGGATTTTATATAGATGCCAAAAAAACAAAATAAAACTTTAAGTTAAACTGCTTTCAAGAAATATTTTCATTTAGCATTCGAGTATAAAATTATTTCTTCTTTCCCAATGGCTTGTACATTCTTAATGTATATGTATTCTGTGAGGTTAGGTATTCCCAGCGTGCCAAGAACATATTCAGCGAACTTCAGGAGGAACCTTTTGTAGTGGAGTTAGATCTTCGAGGTACTTGTATAGAATTGTTCACCTTTTCTCATTCCTATGCCAGAGTTTAATGTGAAGATCTATACATGCATGCCTTTTTCTAGTAGATAGATAGTAGTAGAATTGTCTTCTCTTTATGATATGCAGATGATGGGTACAAGATTCAGGATGTTCTTTTGGATCTGGTTGGCCGACGAACTGTCCCACAAGTATTTGTGAATGGCAAGCACATTGGTGGATCTGATGGTAGGCCTCATTCTTTGATGTTCAAACTGTTCTTTAGCAGCAAGTTTCATCAATTTAGCAACACTGCTTTCCTCTGATCTTTTTATATGTGATTCAGATCTCCAAGCTGCAGTCAGAAGTGGCCAATTGCAGGACCTTCTCAGTAAAGCTTAATAATTTCACCAGTGAGCTGGGAGCTTGGTGTATCTTATATAATCTTATAAATTTCAATGTCATAAGCGGAGCATGGAGATGATATTCAGTGGGAGGCAGAATATTTTGAGATGATATTATAGTGTGATCTATAATATCAGTCTTGTTAATTCATTCAGATCTGTGTTAGCTGTTAAAGCAGTTCATTACATTGTTGATGAATGTTTTGAGATGTTACGTAGTGAATGCAAAAGACTTTACTTTTGAATTTGGGTAAAGACGCAAGGCAAAATGTTCATTACTTTGTGGTATTGATTGAAGGGCCTTTTGAGTGATACAATGAGATGAATGCACTGGAAGAGGACGCCACACAAGATAGATTGGATAAGAAAAGAGGATATTATCCAAAAATTGAAAGTTATGCCTTTTACGAGCTACGACTTAGATGATTGCAGCATGTCTTCTGTAGATCTCTAAAATAAGGCCTCATTTACAGAAGTGACAATTGTAGTAGAGAACAAGTAAAAATTATAATATGATCAGGTTTGAGGGAGTTGCAAAAAGAAAAATAAATAAGTTTATTATATATTTCAGTAGAAGTAGCTTTGGATTAAATGAAAGGGTGAACGTGGATTCATGCGTTTCATTTTAATTTTATTGGCAATAAGACTTGGCTAGTGTTGTTTTTGGTTCATGTCTACATGATTGTAGTAGATGTAGCTAAAATAGGGAGTGTCCTGAAATATCTAGGTATTGACGTATTGTGACCTTCATATGTTTGCTGTGGTGTGTAGCACCCTCTTTATCATTGTTCAAGAGCAATGTATAAAGTTGCTGAGCATATACTTGTAAATCTGCCAGTGCTTTGTATCATATTTCATACTGTCACTTCCACACACGAACACATATGTTAATGCTTTATATATGCCTACAATACCTCGTGAAAAAAAAATGTAGTGCATAAAGTTTACAGCTCAATGGACAAACAGTAGCAGCATTTATGTATTTAGCAAATGACCCAAAAATACTATCAAAGAAACAAAAAGCTGGTGAAATACTCCAGCGTTGTGTTCTCTGTATAAGTTGATATAGTATTTGCTCTACTGCAATAGGAATCTTGCTCAACAGAATACTGTCTCGGGTGCCCTGGTGGATGGTTTTCTCGACTAATCAAGATACGGCTTCATATGCGTCCGGCCTCCAGTTGGATTTCTGAGCACTTAGCATCCCCTCTTGGTTTTTGGAGAATGTTAGATGGACCTCCCAATGCAGAGACTTCAACAAGTTCTCTACTTCCCCAATTGTGCTGGATTCATCGCGCACAACTAATTTACCTCCAGGTCTAATTATTCTATCAACCTCTGCCATCACAGGCACAAGCTTGCACCTGCAAGTAGGATGAAAATAAAATGTTACATTTCCTAGTTCTACTGTTAACAGTATAAACTTGTACTGCTACCTCTTTTTCAATCTGGAGAAAAGATGATCCGCATGCAGGAGGTCATATGTCCTGGGGTAGGTGCTGAAGGATTCACACCAGTCATGATATATCCCAAAAAGGCCGCGTTCATAGATTATGGGAAGTGTATCTGGAGAATCTACATTCACTACATTCATCACCCATACTTTCAGGTCCTTGAGTGCAGCGGCAAATCTGTAAGCATTATTTCATATCAGGTTTTGCTCATAAATCTGTAATAAGCAATAAGATCATTGTTTACCCTCCATAAACTGCTCTCATGTCCATAACATTTCTCACGTTGGACCAGCTAATTCCCAAGCCGCTCATATATGTCTTGCTCACCACCTTCTTCCAGTGCTCATAGTCTGCTGCAAAGTCCTCTGGAGCTGGTTTCCCGTAAATTCCCATCTGAGATCTGTTGAGCCAATAAGGAGGTGTCTGCGCTCGCTCAGGCCACTCTTCAGGCCATTGGCTACCCCTCTCGTTTCCTCCAATCGGGACTCTATGTATGCATGACTGCAAAGGTACATGCCTGAAAAATATACAACTTGTAATCTAGATCTGTAAAGAAAGATTTCACAGATCTATGGAAAAACTTACCATGCTGCATTAGGATCATCATCTGTTTTACACATCGGAGGACGATTTTGCTTTCTTTGGTCATAACAATCATTTGAGTCTGGTTTGTGGTAAACAGCAACACCAATGGAATTCAATTTGTCCTTCTTAATTGTGACAAGCTCCCAACACATGGACACTGTTAAGTTGGACATTTCTGGTAGGAAGCATGAAACTTGTGTATATCAGTTTCTCTTTATCAACATAATATATACATATGAATTTGTTTCTACCTTTCCATATCTGCACGTCTTCTTCAAGGGTTTGATACACCGGAGTTGCTGACCACACAAAATAGCCACCAGGTCGTAGTACCCGGTTCAGTTCCAGGAGTAGAGAACCACCTAAATTTTCATTTTTTAGCATTGATAGGAGGGAATTACTTAGCCTAAATTTAGAACAAAATTATTAATAAAGCCCAAGAAAATAAAAGGATAACCATCTGCGTGCCAAGGGACTCTGCAACGTGCACAGTGCACAACATCAAACACTCTGCTAGGAAATGGCAGTCTTTGAGAACCCATCACGGCCGATATTGCTGGTATTCCCCTTTCAAGGGCAAATTGGACTTGAGCCTCATGTTCATCTTTGGGGGCAAAAGATAGTGCAAGAACATCTCTTTCGAAGAGAAAACCTCCAAAGCTGGCAACTCCACAGCCAACATCCAATACGGTTCGAGTATGCTTTCCCCATGCAATATCTGGCACTGCCTACAGCCAATTGAATTCATCAAATTGCAATATAAAATTAAAAGGATTTGTCCAGTTCTGCTTGTCTATTGGGAGAATTATTATACCTCTTGTACAAAGTCAATGTAGTGCAATGCTCCATGTATAAACTGAGTGCCACCACCTGGGAAAGTAAGAAATTCCCCGGTCACCTTGACCCAATTTTGGTGGCCCTTCACCTCTGCCAGCATTGGATGTGGTACATTATGGTACCATATCTGCAACAGAAAAAACTGAAAGATCTGTTTGTTGTGCATATATAATTTTGAATGACAATTGCTATTATATGATCATACCTTATCTCTGCTTTGAGGCCATTCTATGGGACTTTTGTACCCCTGTGGCAGTGGAACTAGGCAAGTCGGGGGATCCTCAGGACAGTGCCTTTCGCGATGCTCGTAGTGCTTTCTGCTGTGAAGCTTTGCTATTGCTTTCTCATTGTCCAAACAAGGTATGTAATCTGTACCAGCTGTTACGTTGCATAACTGCCATGTGTATCCATAGATGCTACTATCTTTATCATCCGATCCTCCTTTTCGTCTCTCTTTTTGGTTCTCAGACTGATCTGCTTGAGTAGACCATGTCCTTTTGGATTCTTTTGATTCTTTTGGTATCACATTGTTCTCTCCATTTGGAAATGAATCTCCATCGTTGTTCTTGGAATTCTTGTTATCTTCTGTACGAGTCTCCTTTGCATCTTTGAAGGTTGGATCATCTTCAGCTGAGGATATGGATGCCTCGTCGTGTTGGATTTGATCAACACTTGTAGTCCCATTAGTATCTTCTTGTAATTGCCATTCTTTCTGTCCTTGTTGGACTTGTTCTTCTTCGTGTTTTTGATGCTCTTCTATGCGTTGTCGTCGATCTTCATCTGATATTAGATTCTCCGTATTCTCTGAACTGCCGACATTTACTTTGATCTCTTCAACGTCATGATTCCCAGTACTATATTTCTCATTTTCGGTTTGCTGGCTTTCTTGTTCACCTCCAATTCCTTCATGAGTCGACACTCCTGTGTTTTCTTTCATCGTATCTTCAACTTCTTGGTTTTGAGTCACCGAACTTTCCTCCCTGGTTTGAGTGTCAAGAGCGTTTTGATTTCCCTTTTCTTCTACAGACTCTTCCCCTTGCAGTTTTTCCTGGGTTTCTTCTACTGCTGAATCCTGATCTTTCACATTATCACCTTCCTTATTTTCATCAATATTATCATGCTCAGGATGAATCTTATTATCATTGTCAATTATGCCATTTTCTTCTGGTTCTTGCTTGAAAGTATTCTCTCCTGCAGCTTCATCAGCATTCTCATTAGTGCTCTCTGAATCCATAGAAACCTCGGAATGGTCAGACAACGAATCTTTAGTATCTTCCGGAATCTCCTGACTTTCATTAGAATCATTAGGTCGAGATAGCTCATTGGCTTTGACGGCATCACCGGGAAGGTGAACCGAGCTGCTGTCTATATGAATAGGATGAATTTTCTCGTCGGAAGGTTTTGTGTTACTATCCGAATGGATTAGTAGAGTGGTCGTGGATTCAGATTGAGTTGTTGATTTTGCGGGAGAAAATGAATTGGAGTTTAGCACCCATACGCCCAACATGCATAACGCTACAAATATTACAGTTGTCATAGTTGAGTAAGAAACCCCAGAGGATCGCTTACTGTTGCGAGCCTTCCCAGACGCCATGCGTAGACAAATCACACAGATGAAAAAAGAAAAAAATTACAGAAATCAACACAGAAAATAGATGGAAATAAAACTGATTACAGAATTCTGGTAGGTTTGTGGATGAAGACAATAGTGCATGAAAAGATCACATTTCCAAGTTGGAATTTATCAAGATCCGGATGAGTAGGAGAAGGGAGTTTGTTATCCCATGCAAAAAATTAAAAAAAAAAAAATAAATAAAATTCTTTTGAAATTACCTACTTGTTGGAGAAGAGATATATTATGTGATTTGAAGAATATTTGTTAATATTGAAGAAAAGATTTGGGCATCCTTTTAGTCGTGTATTATCTTTTTTATTTCCATATATGTCTTTTGGGGCACACGTTTGTGATGTTTGTCAGTTTTTCAAACAAGTTCGTCTACCATTTAATAATTATTCATCTATGACTGCAACCTTTTGAGTTAATCCATTCTGATTTATGGGGCCCGTGCCGAATTGATTCATATGATGGTTTTAAATATTTTGTGTTGTTTATTGATGATTATTCTCGTGCTACTTGGATCTATTTATTGAAATCTAAGAATGAAGTTTACCCTGTTTTCAAGGATTTTCATAGCATGATGGCCACTCAATTTGATAGCAAAATAAAGATTTTTTGTTCGGATAATGGGATTGAATTTGCCAAGGGTCCCTTCCTGCCTTTCTTCACAATGAAGACATTAGATATCAGACTAGTTGTGTTGGTACGCTCCAACAAAATGGAGTAGTCAAAAGGAAAAATCGACATATTTTGGAGACTACAAGAGCTTTCATGCTTCAAATAAATATTCCGAAGAAATTTTAGTCACATAGAGTTTTAATAGCTGTGTACTTGATAAATAGGCTTCCAAATCGTGTAATCCATTTCCAGTCACCACTGGAAGTCTTAAAAGGGAGAAAGCATGACGTGTCTCACCTTCGAGTATTTGGTTATGTTTGTTATATGCACCACCAGAGCTTGCATCATGATAAATTTGATCCTCCTTCCATCCGGTGCATCTTCTTAGGATATTTTTCGACAAAAAAGGGATATACATGCTATGATCCTCAGTCCCGGAAGCTATTTGTATCACGAGATGTGAGATTTGCTGATAATGAACCATATTTTTCGGCTCAGAGTTCGAACAAGATTTTATCTCAGGGGGAGAATATGACCTATCTGTTTTCACTACCCACTATATAGACATCTTCTTCTGATATTGCAAGTACAGGTGAAATTGAAACCACAGCATAGATTGAAGGTACATGAAAAACCGAACAGGATGAAGACAACGGGGACAACAGAAGACCTTTATCGCTAATTGCTCATGATGTTCCAGAATATGTCAGTGTTGTACCGATACTTCCGAAAAGATTCTTAGAAGGTCAAACCGAACATCCAAGGCTCCAGAAAAATTAAAGGACTAGATTAAACTTAAAAATAAAAGTATCTATATTATGAAGCAATAATTTGAGCCAAAAAAATTATTAAAGAAATTATTTTAAAAACTAAACCTAAAAAAATATAATTGTTTTTTTAATATTTATTGTATGAAAAAAATTAAACAAAAATGTGGATTGACATGAAATTGAACCCCATACCTTTGGATGCAAAGTGACATCCACTGACATATGAGCCACCCTCCATATTGTTGAAGTTAGTACAATTATATCTTAAAAGTTAATTATTATTTATTGTGTTTAAAAATTAAAAGGAGGAGTGTCTTGAAAGGGAATCGAATCTGAGCATCTTGCGATCGAGATGCTAATGCGCGACCACGTGACCACCCGATCTATACAGGGTTTTGCTAAATATTTCTACGAAACATATATATAATCCGCCCCTGGGTACGCCCCAACAAAATGGAGTATCCGAAAAGAAAAATCTACATATTTTGGAGACTACATGATCTCTTATACTTCAAATGAATATTCTGAAAAAAAATTTGGTCACATGGAGTTTTAAAAGCTGTGTACTTGATAAATAGGCTTCCAAGTCGTGTAATCCATTTTCAATCACCGTTGGAAGTCTTAAAGGGAGAAAGTCTGATGTGTCTCACCTTCGAGTATTTGGTTGTGTTTGTTATGTCACCACCAGAGCTTGCATCATGATAAATTTGATCATCGTTCCATCCGGTGCGTCTTCTTAGGATATTCTTCGACATAAAAAATGATATACATGCTATGATCCCCAGTCTCAGAAGCTATTTGTACCCCGAGACGTGAGATTTTCTGAGAATTAACCATATTTTTCGGTTCAAAGTTTGAACAAGGTTTTATCTCAGGGAGAGAATTTGAGCGATCTATTTCCACTTCTCACTATATGGACATTTTCTTCTGATATTGCAAGTACTAGCAAGATTGAAACCACGGTACAGACTGGAGGTACACGAGAAACCGAACAGGATGAAGACAATTGGGACAACGGAAGTCCTTTATAGCCAATTGCCCACGATGTTCCAGAATATGTCAGTGATGTACCAGATACTTTCGAAAAGATTCTTAGAAGGTCAAATCGAACATTCAAGGCTCCAAAAAAATTAAAAGACTTCGTTACATATGAAGCTGTCGTAATCCTATACAGTCTCATTTATCATACTCCAATGTATCATTGTCTCATTCAGCATTTTTAACTTCTTTGTCTTCAACTCATGAGCTGAATAATTTTAGAGAAGCAAATTCCAATCCTATTTGGAAATGAGTAATGCAGGAAGAATTACAAGCCCTTGATGACAACAAGACTTGGTCCATTGTAAAACTTTCTCCAGGGAAAAAGACATTTGGGTGTCATTGGGTTTATAAAACCAAGTTTCGAAGTGATGGATCTGTTGAACGACATAAAGCACGCCTTATTGCAAAAGGTTTCACCCAAACTTATGGAGTTGATTACAATGAGACATTTGCTCCTGTAACCAAAATGAACACGTTTCGTGTTCTTTTATCTCTAGCCATCAATCAAGATTGGAAATTGTTTCAGATGGATGTGAAGAATGCTTTTTTACATGGTGATCTTGATGAAGAAGTTTATATGAGTATACCTCCAGGTCATCGGCTGGAGGGTCGTAGTGATCTCACATGCAGATTAAGAAATCTATATATGGTCTTAACCAATCACCTCGTGCATGGTATGCCAAACTCAGTCATGTTCTTGTAAAGAATGGTCTAAAGATGAGTGATTTTGATTCTTCGTTGTTAGTGAAAAGAGGTATGAAAGGTACTGTTATTGTTTTGATCTATGTTGATGACATCGTTATTACTGGTAATGATCTTGTTGAAATATCAAAGCTCAAAAATATTCTTCATACACAGTTTTTTATTAAGGATTTTTGATTTTTGAAGTATTTTCTCGGATTAGAAATTACATATTCAAAAAATGGCATATTTCTAAACCAAAGAAAATACGTATTGGATTTGTTAAAAGAAACTGGAAAAATAGGTGCTAAGCCAGCTCAAACGCCTATAGAGTGCAATTCCAAATTAACACTTGATGGCAATCTATTATCTGATGTGGGTCAATTCTAAAGATTGGTGGGCATATTAATTTACCACAATTATTCGACATGATATCTCATATGGTGTCAGCCTTGTTAGCCATTTTATGCATTCTCCATGAGTTGCACATATGGATGCCGTTAATCGAATTTTGCATTATCTCAAGGGGTCATCTGGAATAGGTATATGGATGCATAAAAATGGCCATTCTCTTATTTCTGCTTATACAGATGCAGATTGAGCTGGTAGTGCTGTAGATAGAAGATCTACCACTGGATATTGCACTTTTATTTGGGGAAATTTGGTGATATGAAGGAGTAAGAAGCAAAACGTTGTTGCACGCTCTAGTGCTCAAGCTGAATATCGAGCAACGGCTTCTACTGCCAGTGAAATTATTTGGCTTTGCTCTTTGCTGAAGGATTTTGGATTTGGTTTGTCACAACCCTCCCAGATGTTTTGTGATAATCCACATTGAAGTTGATTGTCACTTTATACAAGAACAAGTCCAAGCCAAGGTTATTTGCACTCCCTTCGTTCGTAGTAGCCAACAATTGGCTGATATTTTCACCAAAGGCTTATCAACTGTCAAATTTCATGAGATATTGTCCAAGTTGGGGTCTTTCGATATTTTCGCATCAACTTGAGGAGGGGTGTTGATAGGAATGCAAAATGCATATTTTTCCATCCTTATTTTATGTGTTCATATGATTAATTAGTGCCAAAATATACTCATTAAGTTTATATTTTGATTTAGGTGGCAATTCTATGAATATAGCGTAATTTGGAAGAAATAGGCGAACAATGGCTAAAAGGAAAGAAAACGAAGTTTGGGGACTGAAATACAAATACTCAAAAGTTATGGGAATCTCACGATAAAGATTTGAGAGTGTTAGATGTAAATCGGATGAAGAAAGAAGTCAAAGTGATGAAGTATAATCAAAGTATTATCACATATCAACTCCTAGCCGAAAATGTTATGCATTGGATTTTCAGTCTCAATTTGAAACCCATTTTTGAAATTGCAAACGATCGAATTAGAAAATGATATCTGAATAAAATTTGTAGCCCTTTTAGTTATCTTTCCAACGCATCTTGAATCAACTCAATCGGATATCGGGAGTGAAAGATATGGCCAAAATATTGAAGGCCGCCGCCCAACCCTAAACTTGATTAACGGAAGCCAATATTTATGCAGGGTGCCCGCCCAAGCCAAATCAGAGAAATTTTTTTGGTTTTCTAATTTAAGTCAACCACCTATGAAAACAATTATAAATACATATTTTAAAAATCTAGAACGGGAAGAACGCCTCCAAACTCCATTCTTCATTATTTCTCTCTTAGATTCATGAATTGTAACTAAACTTTTACACTTGATAGAAGGAAATTGAAATATCGGAACCAAATATTGTGATATCTAAATAGTTTTTCTTATTGTTTAATTCTTATTTTGCGTATTGAATATTTTCCTGCACTTATTTTCATGATCGTTATATTTAATTTCTAGGA